AAGTACCTGGAGAACCAGAGCTTTCTCCTAAAGTACCTGGAGGGCTTAAAATCTGCTCCGGATTTTTCACAAATTATTCAAATGTTTCACCTTTAATTTCTGGAAAATGTTCAGACTTGTATCACTCACTTATTAGAGATTTTTCGGAAAATGTTCTTTTTTTTTTTTTTTTTACTTTTTAACTAATTTCTTTCACATATTGTCCAAATAATTTGCAGACATTTTTCACAGAATAAAACAAAAAATTGGGGATTTTTTATTACATTTTTCAACACATTTTGATATTATTATTATTTGGGTATTTTTCTTAATATATTTTACATTTTTAATCCGATGTTTTTCTGATATCCACAAATTGTGTCATCATGTTTTGTATGATATTCACAATTTCTTTGACAAATTATTCACATATTTTGCTCCATATCTCTGGAAAGTAATTCCGACTGTTGTTATCACTCATATTTCAAAGATTGTTTCAGATCTTTTTTTTCACTAGTTTTTTTTTGCCATATTTGAATGTTTGGTATTCTTCTGTCAGGCAGCGAGGAACTGTCTGGTGAACGAGCAGAACGTGGTGAAGGTCTGCGACTTCGGGATGACCAGGTACTGACACATTTCATTTATACACATCGTTAATGATAGACTAAGGGGCGGGACATCTCTTAGCGGTTGACCAATCAGCTAACCAATCAGAGCAGACTGGGCTCTGGTTTCAAACAGAGGGTGAAAAGAGGTGCTGCAGCACAGGCAGTATGAGAAAAATAAAGAGCTTTTTGAACATTAAAGCATGGAGACATGTCACTTTGAACAGAATTCTGACATGGTTTAGAACAGTGTGTTGTGTTTTCAGGTGTGTGTTTTCAAGTGTGTGTTTTCAGGTGTGTGTTTTCAGGTGTGTGTGTTCAGGTGTGTGTGTTCAGGTGTGTGTTTTCAGGTGTGTGTGTTCAGGTGTGTGTTCTTGTGGTGTGTGTTTTCAGGTGTGTGTGTGTGTTTTCAGGTGTGTGTTTTCAGGTGTGTGTGTTCAGGTGTGTGTTTTCAGGTGTGTGTGTTCAGGTGTGTGTTCTTGTGGTGTGTGTTTTCAGGTGTGTGTGTGTGTTTTCAGGTGTGTGTTTTCAGGTGTGTGTTTTCAGGTGTGTGTTTTCAGGTGTGTGTGTTCAGGTGTGTGTTCTTGTGGTGTGTGTTTTCAGGTGTGTGTGTGTGTTTTCAGGTGTGTGTTTTCAGGTGTGTGTGTTCAGGTGTGTGTGTTCAGGTGTGTGTTTTCAGGTGTGTGTTTTCAGGTGTGTGTGTTCAGGTGTGTGTTCTTGTGGTGTGTGTTTTCAGGTGTGTGTTTTCAGGTATGTGTGTTCAGGTGTGTGTTCTTGTGGTGTGTTCAGGTACGTGTTGGATAATCAGTACACCAGCTCCAGTGGGGCGAAGTTTCCAGTGAAGTGGTCTCCTCCTGAAGTCCTGCACTACAGCAAGTACAGCAGCAAGGCCGACGTCTGGTCCTTCGGTCAGCACACACACACACACACACACACACACACACACACACATACACACTTAGTTCAGATAAGAAAATAAGTACTTTATCGATCCCAATTTGGGAAATATAGCATAAAAGTAGTAGTTATGGGTACTTTTTACTTAAGTACATTTCAAAGCCCATACTTATTACTTTTAAGAAGTTTAGAAGAGTATTTTTAAACACGAGTATCTGTACTTCTACTTGAGTAAAGGATGTGTTTACTCTGGTGTTCAGGTGTGGTGATGTGGGAGATCTACTCTGAGGGGGCGATTCCCTTTGAGTGCCGCTCTAACGTGGAGGTTGTCATGGAGATCACGAGAGGAGGAAGACTGTACCGACCTCACAGAGCAACACAAGCAGTTTACAGCATCATGTACCGCTGCTGGCACGAGGTACACACACACACACACACACACACACACACACACACACACGTACAGACACACACACACACACACACTCTCACACACACACACACACACACACTCACACACACACACACACACACACTCACACACACACACACACACACTCACACTCACACACACACACACACACACACACACACACACACACGCAAATAAATATGTACAAGAAAAATAATTGAATATACTCAAATTTTATTAGGTTAAAGATTATTGTCACACATTTGTGAGCAAAGAAAAATAATATATAATTGTGATTTATTTCTTTTTTAAATTGTACGTTTTATGTCTTAAATTTACCAGTTTAATTTAGGAGGAATATACAGAATTTTGAATGACTTTTTGGGGGAAATGTACTCATTTTATCTAAAAAATCTCATATGATCTCAGAGATCTTGAGTATTTTCCCCTCCCTTCACTTTGTTATTATTATTTATTATATAACAGTTTCTCGTCACTTACTTTTTGCCACAATTTAAGATGTTGTTTGGGTTTAAAGGATTGTTTTTCATCTCTTCTTCTTCTTCTGCTTTAATTCTCTCTTCTTCGGTGGTGTTCTCGGTGGGAGTAGAAGCCTCAGGGTCGCCCGTCCTTCTCCGAGCTCCTGCAGGACATCAGGAAACTGGCAGAAAATACGGAATAATCCACACTTTAATTGTATATATCGCTGATTATTATCAAACTGTACTTCTGAATGTACACAGATTCTTTTTTTGTTTATTGTAATTAAATATTTTTACATTAAAACCTGTTTCTGATAAAGACAGCAGGGGGCGGTAGAGAGCTTTGGGTTGGATATAAAGTCGTTTATTAGGCAGAATATGACATGTTCATGACTGTAAAGGGCGGTTTGTAATTGTAAAATAAACATAAATAGGTCCGATTTTGGGAAGATGCCCCCCTATAAGTAACTTAGCTTTCATACAGTGAGGTCTGACATGTATATGTAATTGTTTTTTAATTATACACCTGAATGTTAGACCCTTAAACATAGATTTTGAAGGAGGTTTGTTTTGACACACAGTAAAACATCTTGGTTATTACATTACATTACATGTCACTTGTTAGACGCTTTTATCCAACGCGACTTACATGCTCAATACTGTGGGCAATCCCCACAGGAGCAATTTGGGGTGAAGTGTCTCAGGGACACAACGACATGCTGACTGCAGTGGGGTTTGAACCTGTGACCCCCTGATCCGAACACCATCGCACAACCCATTGCACCACACGCCTCCAATTTGGATCCTTTATTGGTCTGAGAGACAACATCCAAATAGATTAAATTCAAGTGTAAAATATCACACATATGGCATCTTTACCTCTCATATTAGTGTGTGTTTTGGTTTATTTACAGGGGTTTGCTTTGTTCATACGGTTTAAATGTGTGTGTAAAGTATTCAAATGTCATTATTTGTGCTGCACTGAGCATGCGCAGACAAAGAGAACACATGGCGGGGGGGCGTTACCTTGGAGACACACACACACACACGCGCACACACACACACACAGCCACAGTGTCGATTTCTACAGTGACGGTGATACGACACACACACACACACACACACACACACACACACACACGCACACACACACACGCACACACACACATGCACACACACACACAGCCACAGTGTCGATTTCTACAGTGACGGTGATACGACACACACACACACACACACCGGAGAACAACAACGTTACTCGAGTGTTTACGTTGGAAACGGGAGCGGAGGAATTCACGTGTAAAAAGGTGAGTGTGTTTTACTGGTTTGTTTATGTGTGTGTAAAATCAATTTCCTACCATCTATTTATTCTATTGCGTTTACTTTTGGAGGAAGTATTTATATAGTTGACTTACTAGCCTACAGTAAGACTACTTACACGACAGTAAAAATACTGCCTTGAAATGTTACTTTAGCTTTAATAATACAAATGTAATAAAGTATTTTATAAGTATATAATTGTCAACTATGTATGTTTGAATTTATGAGTTTTATTTGTGACAGATATATATGATCTATCTATTACCTTCACCAGTAGGCCTTTATTAGGAGTTTTAAATGAAATATTATACAATATGTGACGGATACATTTCTTATTTTCCTTTCCTAATACCATTACTGTTTATTCATTGACCTTTTCATTTGATTTGTAAGTGTGTGTATTGTGTTTCTCTTAAACATTTTGGTACTTTTACTTAAATGTATTTTTGTTTTACTTAAAGTGTTTTTAAATACCGTTTTCTTGCTTAGCGATGTGTTTGCTTGGGTCATAGCCATATCTTGAATACTGTGTACAACTTATAGTAAAAACAAAAGTGAGTCAAATGTATTTATAAGTGAAGTTTTCTATATTTCTGTCCTCTAGAGTCAGAGGGGGGAAGTAGTGGAGTACAAATACTTCGTTACTGTACTTAAGTACATTGTTCTGGTATCAGTACTTTACTCCACTACTTACTTTTCTGATGACTTTTTACTTTGACTTCTTACATTTTGAACACTAATACCTGTACTTTCTACTTCTTACATGTTGAACACAAATACCTGGACTTTCTACTTCTTACATGTTGAACACAAATACCTGTACTTTCTACTTCTTACATGTTGAACACAAATACCTGTACTTTCTACTTCTTACATGTTGAACTCAAATACCTGTACTTTCTACTTCTTACATGTTGAACACAAATACCTGAACTTTCTACTTCTTACATGTTGAACACAAATACCTGTACTTTCTACTTCTTACATGTTGAACACAAATACCTGAACTTTCTACTTCTTACATGTTGAACTCAAATACCTGTACTTTCTACTTCTTACATGTTGAACACAAATACCTGAACTTTCTACTTCTTACATGTTGAACCCAAATACCTGTACTTTCTACTTCTTACATGTTGAACACAAATACCTGTACTTTCTACTTCTTACATGTTGAACCCAAATACCTGTACTTTCTACTTCTTACATGTTGAACCCAAATACCTGTACTTTCTACTTCTCACATGTTGAACCCAAATACCTGTACTTTCTACTTCTTACATGTTGAACACAAATACCTGTACTTTCTACGTCTCACATTTTCCAAACAGGCTGGTTCCTTTAGTTTGAATGTGTGTTTGGTGGCGTGATCATTATTATTTAGAGTCATTGCGTGCCTATTGATTTGAACACGATCCGTGTATCCATCATTTCCTGGTCTTCTCTAAAGAAGAGGGACCAATGAAAACGTTGTCATGTTGCCGTTGTTCAGCATGGAAACATTCATTAGCTAACAATGACATTATTGTTCTATTAATATAAAGGGAGGTCAGGTACTCTTTAAAACAGCTGCTAGTTATGGGTACTTTTTACTGAAGTACATTTCAAAGCCTCTTTACTTTGACTTGAGTAAAGAAGTTTAGTCAGTACTTCTACTTTTACCAGAGTATTTTTAAACACGAGTATCTGTACTTCTACTTGAGTAAAGGATGTGTTTACTTTTGCCCTCTCTGTCCAGAGTTATGGAGCGTTACGAGTCTCTGGGTCTGGTCGGAGAGGGAAGTTACGGCACCGTCCTGAAATGTCGTCACCGAGAATCCGGACGCCTCGTCGCCATCAAGAAGTTTGTGGACTCGGACGACGACAAGACGGTGAAGAAGATCGCCCTGAGGGAGATCAAGCTGCTGAGGGTAAACATGTCAATCCAACCACCTGTAAATCACTCCATTAGCCAACCTGTCAATCAAGCCATTAGCCAACCTGTCAATCAATCCACCAGCCAATTAAACACCAGCATTCAGACTGAAACCTGAGTGCAGTAAAACACAAAAGCAGCCTGTCAATCACAAGATAAACACATCTAAAAATAACTCGGAGGAATCGTTGGAAGACGAGAAGCATCGTCTAGATTCTTCCTGTAGTCTTAGTCTTTAATATTCTGGAAACAGGAGACTCTTCATCTAATGCTTGGTTTCTGGAAAAGGTTTCATCAGGCAACAATACTTTCTAGTCAGGCGTTTTGGACGAAGCATTCATCAGTTATTTTAAAGTAATGTTGCACAAAAACATATCTATAGATAGATATATAGATAGATAGATAGATAGATAGATAGATAGATAGATATATAGATAGATAGATAGATAGATAGATAGATAGATAGATAGATAGATAGATAGATAGATAGATCGGATAGCTAGATAGATAGATAGTCGATCTAGCTCGCTCCTCGCTAGCTATCATCGCTCGATCGATAGACTCGCTAGCTCGCTAGCTCGCTAGTCGCTCGCTCGCTCGCTCGCTCGCTCGCTAGCTCGCTCGCTCGCTCGATCTCGCTCGCTCGCTGGCTCGCTGGATGCTCGCTCTCGCTCGCTCGCTCGCTCTCATGGCTCGCTGGCTCGCTGGCTCGCTGGCTCGCTGGCTCGCTCGCTCGCTCGCTCGCTCGCTCGCTCGCTCGCTCGCTCGCGCTCGCTGGCTCCTCGCTCCTGGCTGGCTCGCTGGCTCGCTCGCTCGCTCGCTCGCTCGCTCGCTGCTCCTGCTGGCTCGCTGGCTCTCTGGCTCGCTCGCTCGCTCGCTCGCTCGCTCGCTCGCTCAGCTCGCTCCGCTCGCTCGCTGGCTCGCTGGCTCGCTCGCTCGCTCGCTCGCTCGCTGGCTGGCTCGCTGGCTCGCTCGCTCGCTGGCTGGCTGGCTCGCTCGCTCGCTCGCTCGCCTGCTCGCCTCGCTCGCTCGCTCGCTCGCTCGCTGGCTCGCTGGCTCGCTGGCTGGCTGGCTCGCTCGCTCGCCTCGCTCGCTCGCTCGCTCGCTCGCTCGCTCGCTCGCTCGCTCGCTCGCTGGCTGCTGCTCGCTCGCATCGCTCGCTGCTCGCTCGCTCGCTCGCTCGCTCGCTGGCTCGCTGGCTCGCTCGATCGCTGGCTGGCTGGCTCGCTCGCCTCGCTCGCTCGCTCGCTCGCTAGCTCGCTCGCTCGCTCGCCTCGCTCGCTGCGCTGGCTCGCTCGCTCGCCTCGGCTGGCTGCGCTCTCGCTCGCTCGCTCGCTCGCTCGCTCGCTCGCTCCTCGCTCGCTCGCTCGCTCGCCTCGCTGCTCGCTCCGCTCGCTCGCTCGCTCCTCGGCTGGCTCGCTCGCTCGCTCGCTCGCTCGCTCCTCGCTCGCTCGCTCGCTCGCTCGCTCGCTCGCTCGCTCGGCTCGCTCGCTCGCTCGCTCCTCGCTCGCTCTCTCGCTCGCTCGCTCGCTCGCTCTCTCTCGCCTGCTCGCTGGCTCGCTCGCTCGCTCGCTGGCTCGGTGCTCGTGGTTCCTCAGCCTGTCAGCCCCTTGGCACTGAGTAAAATATTAATTTGAATGTTTTCTTTTACGCTGTCATCTTTTAAACCTTTAAGCAATTGCGCCACGACAACCTGGTGAACCTCCTGGAGGTGTGGAAGCGCCGCCGCCGCTGGTACCTCGTGTTCGAGTTTGTGGAGCGAACGCTTCTGGACGATCTGGAGCAGAACCCGACCGGACTGGACCTGAACACGAGCCGGCAGATCCTGTTCCAGATCCTGAGAGCCGCTGCCTTCTGCCACCAGCAAAATGTGAGGAGTCAGAGAAATGAACCACATCAAGGGCTTCCAGTATGATATTTTAGACGTGGAAGCACCTTCAGGGTGTTCTGTAATGGAGGCAGAGGTGGGAAGTAGTGGAATACAAATACTTCGTTACTGTACTTAAGTACATGTTTCTGGTATCAGTTACTCTTTAAAACAGCTGGTAGTTATGGGTACTTTTTGCTTAATTTCAAAGCCTCTTTACTTTTACTTGAGTAAAGAAGTTTAGTCAGTACTTTTATTAAACACGAGTATCTGTACTTCTACTTGAGTAAAGGATGTGTGTACTTTTTCCATCTCTGAATGGAGGTCTTTCCCACGTTCTGTGTTAAATAAGTATCTGTACGATCAGGGGTTGGTTTTGGAGAATACATCCCAAACTGCCAGAGGAAGAATTACAACCTCTACTATTATCCTTTTGCTTCCCAGATAATCCACCGTGACATCAAACCAGAGAACATCCTCATCTCTCAGTGTGGTGTGGTGAAGATGTGTGACTTTGGTTTCGCCCGGACCATGACATCTCCTGCTGAGGGGGGGGTTTACACTGACTACGTAGCCACTCGCTGGTACAGAGCGCCTGAACTGCTGGTGGGAGATACCAAGTATGGCAAGTAGGTATCTGTTGTGAAAATAGTGAATGTCCTCTTCCAACATGAGAGTAACATGCTAACAAAGGTATCCCAACTGTAGCTGTGAACATGACAGGATGTATGATTACCTAGAAGAGCATCAGGACTGTTTTAGGCATATGATAGCTATGTGATTAACATGATGATTCAGCCTCTATGGAGATAGACATATGACAAGCATGCTCATTTCTGACGTGGAGCTAATCTGAAGTAAACATTGAATACTGCTTTCTATTCCTCCATCTTGTGACTGTGTAACTCCCTCTCTTGGATATTAGCATGTGAAGGACACTGTTCAGGAACTAGTTGATGCTCTGTATGTGATGACTACTTCCATTCTGGAGAGGATCACAAATACATGGATCCTGAGATTGAAGATCAAGTCTGGGACGAGTGATATTGTTCTAACAGTATCACACCTGAGGATGTGTTGTTGTTTCCTGTTGATACAGTAGTTAACAGGTGTTTTCTGTGTGTGTAGAGCGGTAGATGTTTGGGCTTTTGGGTGCCTGTTGCTGGAGATGTTAACGGGTCAGCCTCTGTTCCCCGGAGACTCCGACCTGGACCAGATTTACCACATCGTCAGGTGCTTCGGTAAGTATATATGTTAAAGGTCACCTATTATGCAAAATCCACTTCTTCATGTCTCTTCTACATCAACATGTGTCCCCTCTTCTTCATGTCTCTTCTACATCAACATGTGTCCCCTCTTCTTCATGTCTCTTCTACATCAACATGTGTCCCCTCTTCTTCATGTCTCTTCTACATCAACATGTGTCCCCTCTTCTTCATGTCTCTTCTACATCAACATGTGTCCCCTCTTCTTCATGTCTCTTCTACATCAACATGTGTCCTCCTCTTCTTCATGTCTCTTCTACATCAACATGTGTCCCCTCTTCTTCATGTCTCTTCTACATCAACATGTGTCCCCTCTTCTTCATGTCTCTTCTACATCACCATGTGTCCCCTCTTCTTCATGTCTCTTCTACATCAACATGTGTCCCCTCTTCTTCATGTCTCTTCTACATCAACATGTGTCCCCTCTTCTTCATGTCTCTTCTACATCAACATGTGTCCCCTCTTCTTCATGTCTCTTCTACATCAACATGTGTCCCCTCTTCTTCATGTCTCTTCTTCATCAACATGTGTCCCCTCTTCTTCATGTCTCTTCTACATCAACATGTGTCCCCTCTTCTTCATGTCTCTTCTACATCAACATGTGTCCCCTCTTCTTCATGTCTCTTCTACATCAACATGTGTCCCCTCTTCTTCATGTCTCTTCTACATCACCATGTGTCCCCTCTTCTTCATGTCTCTTCTACATCAACATGTGTCCCCTCTTCTTCATGTCTCTTCTACATCAACATGTGTCCCCTCTTCTTCATGTCTCTTCTACATCACCATGTGTCCCCTCTTCTTCATGTCTCTTCTACATCAACATGTGTCCCCTCTTCTTCATGTCTCTTCTACATCAACATGTGTCCCCTCTTCTTCATGTCTCTTCTACATCACCATGTGTCCCCTCTTCTTCATGTCTCTTCTACATCAACATGTGTCCCCTCTTCTTCATGTCTCTTCTACATCAACATGTGTCCCCTCTTCTTCATGTCTCTTCTACATCACCATGTGTCCCCTCTGTGTAAAGAGACCCTGAAAGTTTAAGGAACAAAGATTTTCTCTCTTTTTCTCCTGATCCATTTCTATAAAAACCTGTCTGAAAATGAGCTGATCAGATTTTGGCCACTTTATGATGTCATAACGATGTTTTGGCTTGTGTAACCATTAGCCAATCACCAACCAAGGTACCCCCCCCCCACCTTATCACCTGAATCTCCTCCTAGAGCTCCATTGAGTTCTTTGTAACCAAATCTCTCTCAGAGGGGCGTGGGGAGGGGCTCCTTATTTTCATCTAAAGTAACAGACAGAGAATCAGCACTTTGGAAACAGGGCTGAAACAGAGGGGATTATGGGTAATGCTGCAATGGTCTGTTTGGTGTTTCAGCCAATCAGAGACATGTTCTGTATATATCTGAGACCTGTAACATATTGATAAAAAAACAGTATAATAGGGGACCTTTGAATAAAAACATGAAATATCTTATCTTTGAACTCTCTCAACACACTTATACTCTTTTGGGTTCTCCTAGGTAACCTGACAGCTCATCACCAGGAGTTGTTCTACAGGAATCCCGGCTTTTCTGGAGTCAGACTTCCAGAATATTCTGACCGAGTCCCATTGGATCAGCGCTTTCCTACAATCCCACCCACCGCCCTGGACCTGGCTCAGGTACATTGACTTAAATGTCCCATTACAAGTATTCACAATCAGATAAAAAGACTGTAAAGCATTCATCCACATCCAGGACATGGTTAAACTGTACACCCCAGCACGTGCACTCCGCTCTGCATCAGCCAAACGGCTCGCTGCACCAGCGCTGCGAGGGGGACCCAAGTTCCCATCAGCAAAAACACGTGGGTTTGCTATCCTGGCTCCAAAATGGTGGAATGAGCTCCCCATTGACATCAGGACAGCAGAAAGCTTACACATCTTCCGGCGCAGACTGAAAACTCATCTCTTTCGACTCCACTTCGAGCGATAGAACTACTAACAAAGAATTGCTAACAAAGCACTTACATACTAACAAAGGACTGGCTTATCTAAAGCCAGTTGAGTAGCACTTGAAATGGTTCGGCTCTATGAAACCTAATGTACTTATATGATTCTGTTTTCTTCAAGTTTGTATCTCCTGGTCGAATGCACTTATTGCAAGTCGCTTTGGATAAAAGCGTCAGCTAAATGCGATGTAATGTAATGTAATGTAATGTAATGTAATGTAATGTAATGTAATGTAAAGCATTCATTCATTTGGCAGAACCAGTAATACTTTTGTTTGGATTCTTTCAGAGTTGTCTCCAGATGGATCCAGAAAGACGCGCCCAGTGTTCAGAACTGCTCGAACATCCTCTGTTCACTCAGGACTCTTTCCACATCAGATTTTTGGACGAGTTGAATGCAAAGATCCAGAAAGACCACAGAGAAAACTCTACCCTTCCCAAAATAACCAAAACCCCAAGACGAGAAAGGAACGAAGGTGATGACAGGAACCGGAGAAGCAAAGAGAAGAAACAAACTGAAGATCTGGACGAGAGAGGCAACAAGGAAAAGGAGAGGAAGGAAGATGAGAAGATGGAGAAAACTAAAGGAAAGCAAACTTCAAAGGTTTCTAAAACTATTCAAAACCCTTCAGAGCCTCTAATATCAACCAAACAATCCAAAACTTTAGGCGCAAAGATTGATAATGTCGCAAAAACATCTGTGCCCATGAAAAGTAAACCAGGGAAAGTCACTGTTGGGGATCAGAGAAAAGAACCTGAGGCGTCAAAATCAACTAAAACCTTTACTTTGGATTCATTAGAGTCTACCAAGACTGCAACAGATCTAAAGGACAATAACACATTGGTAGCGAAACAAGGAAAAGTTGCTTCTCTGGAAACAGATGGAGGATTCAGTGGCTTAGAGATTGGTAGATCTATCAAATCGGAGCTTAACCAAGACTTTGGGAAGAACTGGACCAACACAAAAGTGCTTAAATTGTCTAAAACCTTAACTAGTGACCATACAATTGGGGTGTATTCTCCAAAAGCATCCTTAAAACCAACCCTTGATCGTACAGACACTTCCTTAACACAGAAAATGGGAAAGACCTCCATTACAGAACACCCTGAAGGTGCTTCCACTTCTAAAATATCAAACGCTGATCAAGTAGAGACAAGTTGGACACTTAAATCGACTCAACCGTCAAGTAATGACCACATTAAGGTTGCTACCACAACTATCCCTCCTGTCAACAAGCCATGCAAGACGACTTCAGGGAATCAGAACGAAACTTCAACCACAAACAAAGAGCAAAGAAAGACCTCTGAAGTCTTGCCTTTAAACTCAAAGACATCTAAGACTACCTCAAACTCAAAAATGACCAAAAACAACACATTTTTGTGCAATCCTTCAAAGACGCTTCTCTCAGATATTTCAAGGGAGTCCTCAACAGTTTTCAGAGAAGCCACTCCTGTCCAAAGCACGTTAACAACAGCTAAAGGAACCTCAAAGTTTCTCAAAACTGGCTCGTATTCAGATGCTAAACCAACAAGAGGCCTTCCAACGGACCGGGGACTTTCAGAAATATCAGCCAAAACTCAACAGGATGTCAACGAGGCAAACAACTTTGAGATTTACGATGCTTCAAGTGGAGACTACAAGGAGAATCCTGAATCTTCTGAGCCCTCTAGTGTCTATCAACTGAGGACTCCTACATCCAAAACCACTGCAGAATCCAGAACCACTGTGGCGATTGAAATCTCTGAAAGCAATGCACCATTAGGAACCATTATTCCAAAGACATTGAAAGTATCGGACAAAGAAAACAGAGAGGATTTAGCGCTGTCTGTTTCCATCAGTTCAACGACCACGTCTGTAGTTGACCAAATCCCAAAGGTTGAACACTCTAACTACAAATCCTTGATCGGAGAACCCAAAATGAAGCATGGGTCTTTTAGCAACCACAGTAAGTCTGTCGCAACAATGACCCTTAAGACTCAGAAAATTACATTTCCCACAGAGGCGAGAAAGAAAAGAGACATCCCAGAAACAAAAGATGGATCAGCTGATGCAGATTCCACTCGTTTCAACTCTACGACTCCAGACCACAAAGCTTTGACACGAAGCTTCGTCTTCAACACGCCAGACGTTGATGAGTTTAACATCAGCAAACCCCAATCCTCTCCACCTCCACCTCCTCCTGCACCCTCTTCCTCACCCCTGATCCCCTCTTCACCAGTCGTCAATCCACCCACCAGCGATCACTTTTCCATGGGGTCAGGTTTCCATCCTGGGAACCACAGCCTTAGGTACTGAAGTCCAAACATACAAGCACAACAGAGTACAGTACAATATGTGTTTGTCTTAAAGCGTTTAGACACACACTTGGTTTTAAACCTGTACAGTTGTTTCTATTCTAACTCGTACTTTTAAACCATTTTATGGTCTTTGTTGTTGTGATTTCCAAAGGATGTAGCTTAGTAGCTAGCTGCCTACGTAGGAATATGATCCGTAAACATTTGGACGATGTCTTCCAGTTGAGGAAACTGCTGTCCAAGACTAAAACACCACAACAGCAAACTTATTTCAATCATTCAGCAAATCTTGGATGAGACGATGACTTATAAATCTGAAACAAGAGATATATTCTCAAAGAAACTAAATTGGTCCACGCTAGTAGCTTCCATTGGATGCTGAGGACTCAGGAGTAAACAAATAATTACTCCTGAGCGCTTCCTAAATGTGTTTGGTCTTTAAAGTTTCCCTGTGGTTTCCTGTCGAGCGTTAGAACCCTAACAACAACTCTTCCAATGTTTTCTTAGTTTACAATATGACAGAATCTTTGTGTTTATCACAGGTTTGCAGACAAGTCGAGGCATCACGGTGGCGTCTACGGTCGACTGTCCAACCACATGTCTGGATCACTCACTGCACAGGTGACAGAGCTCATATTTCACTTGTTTAAGAGCAGAATCACATAGAAACTGTCTTCCAATGACACCAATGTCTTTTATTTCAGGTGTCGGACAAGAGCCAGACTTGTGAGCGCTCCTTAGTGTCCGATAGGGGAATTACAGCGACCAAGAAGAAGTCAGACGTCCATTTCCCAGATTTAAGAAGCTCAGGACTGCCAGAGATCAGAGGAAGAGAAGGTATGCAAACACACCTTACTATAATATGTACAATTTAGTAAAGCACAAGAAATATTATTTATTGTTACAAGCTCTCTATGGGACGGTCAAAAGCCTGTTTCCTCATTTTTACTGTATTGTGGGGGAAAAAGAGCTAACAAATGTCAAACATCTGTAGGAAAAGTTTCTTCACAACTCACAGGAAAACAAACAAATGTTTGCTTACCCTAACCCTAACCTAAATCAGGGCATTTGGTATTAGAAAATGAAATTATGCACTGAAAAAAACACAAAACAAATGTCAGGAATTGAGTTCCGAAGCAGTTTTCCAACATTTTCTTAGACAGAAAAATGTATTTTCTCAAACTCATTATTCCTATATCAAGTTTAAATCTCCCTCAATCTAAAGCATGCTAAAAAAAACAACATTAAGTAAGCAATTTTGTTTACCTTTTGCCCCAATAATAACATGCTATTAGCTGCAACATAAGAAAAATAAAGAAATGTTTTTTTGTTAAAGAATTACATTATTTTGGGTTAGTTTTTATCATGTAAAAGCATGTAACTCTGTCAGGATAGTAACTACAAACAAATCATTATAAAAGTGTTTATTTTTACTGTTTTTTACTCAGGGAAACTCAACAAAGGCACTTCCAAGGATCAGAGGAAGTCAGAAGCTCAGCAGCACGGACACACCAGTACCGACTCACAAACACCTTAAAAAAACATTATTTTCAGTCACAAAAAAACCCCAAAAATATTGAAATATCTTAATTCAAATCCATGCATTTTGTCAATGACAGTTAATCAAATTTCCTCAGGTTTGTTTTATTATGTTGCACGATTTTAAAGCAGTTAACGGGTCATTCATGTGTGAATACTTTTTTAACACTAACAGAAAATGTTTTTGACAGCATAAAAATAATAAAAAACTTTAAAAAATGAACATGTTTTTATTTTGTTGGGGTTTAATGGCAGAGGCTATGCTAACAGCTGTAAAAAAGCACAAGCATTGACATTTTAATAATTTAGCGCATAGTATTTGTTAAAAATGTACAAAATATTTTCTATGATGCTAAATGTAGTGTTTTTTCTAACAGAATCCCTTTTAAGAGAATGCATTTAGACATAAGTAACCCAACATGTGTGCTAATCTTTCAAAAACAAGTCCACAAAATCTCCTCTAAACCGTTAAGACTCGTCGCTGGAGTCCTCTGAAGAAGAAGAACCCGTTCTCCATTGGTTCCTGTTCGTCCTTCCCGCTCTTTTTACCAGCGTTTCCCTCGACTCGCTGCTGTCTGACGACGAACCGTAGCCTCTGGGAGGAAGCCTTCCCATTGGCTGAGAGATAAAAGAGCCTCTGCTATTGGTTAGGAGATGGAAGAGGAGGCTGTGTGTGATTGGTTTAGCCGGAGCTGCTGGCTGCTTTCTGATTGGTGTTCCAGGGTTTCTGGTGTCTGGTTTCCTGGGTTGTGATTGGACGGCTGGCTTTTTGGTCGTGGTAACAACCTGCTGGAGAATTTAAGAGAAGAGATAAAAATAAGAAAAATGCACTATTTATACAAAATAATATGGTATATTTTTTACTTTTTATTATGACACTTTATCATCAGTTTTCTTTTTTGGAATATAATATTCATGACATAATATATTTTGACTTTTTTGCTGATGATTTTGTAAAATACTATACTATGACTTAATCATTTCATTTAAATCGATAAGAACTTCTGGGATTTTTTTATTAGAGTAAATTGAATAATTCAAGCAATTTTTGGACTTCTTACAGCTTTGACCGCCGGCTATACCAGGACTCTTTTCGACATTATAATGACAAACTATACCATGATTTTTTTAATGACATACTTTACTAATCACATAACTGGTAAAGTATTTCGAAGTTAGCTTGGTGTTGGTAACTATGGAAGTTTTGGGGACACAGTGAAGCTACGACTGACTAACTAACTAACTAACTTACTAACTAACTAACTAAACTTACTTACTTAATTACTTACTTACTTACTTACTTACTAACTAACTAACTTACTAACTATCTAACTCACCAACTATCTAACTTAACAACTAAACTTACTTACTTACTTAATTACTTACTAACTAACAAACTAACTTAATAGCTGTTCAAAATATATCACTCGTCACCGGCTTCAGCTTCAATATCAGGATTCTTGTATTTATTATTGTGATGTTTTCCTAACACTAACTATCTAACTCACCAACTAACTAACTAACTAACTAACTAACTAACTAAACTTACTTACTTACTAACTAACTAAACTTACTTACTAACTAACTAACTAAACATACTTACTTACTTAATTACTTACTTACTAACTAACTAACTTAATAGCTGTTCAAAAAATATCACTCGTCACCGGCTTCAGCTTCAATATCAGGATTCTTGTTTTTATTATTGTGATGTTTTCCTAACACTAACTAACTTACTAACTAACTAACTAACTTACTAACTATCTAACTAACTAAACTTACTTACTTACTTACTTACTAACTAAATAACTTACTAACTAACTAACTGTTAGAAAAATATCACTCGTCACCGGCTTGAGCTTCAATATCAGGATACATGTATTTATTATTGTGATGTTTTTCTAACACTAACTAACTAACTAACTAACTAACTAACCAACTAACCTTCTGGGTGATGGGTTTGGGGGTTCTGGTAGTGGTTCTGATGATGGGTTCGTTGGTGATTGCGGTGGTTTCGGGGGCCGGTGTGGTGAGCAAGATAACCCTGCAAGGGTCCACAGGAGACCCATCGATCTCTGGAAACTCAAACCCCGGAAAAGAGTCGTACCGATCTGATGGAGGAGAGACAGGTAGGTTAACCACTCTGCTGACATAAATACTATCTGCTTTAGATAGGACTGGATCCCAGGCATTTAAAAAAAAAAAAAAACATTTGTTTAGAATCAAAATCAGAAACAGGTTTATCACCAGGGAGGTTGACACGTACGAGGAATTTGACTTGAAGTAAAACAAAAATAAAAAAACACAGATAGAGAACTATTTCAATAACGCTATAATAACATTAAAAAATAAGAACAAATAAAGTAAAATAAAAAAAGCAGTATTTACATTGAAATAAAATGGAATAAAATATGTGCAGTAAAAAAACTGATATTGTTGTGATCATAATTTATATATATATATCTAATTTGACTCTAATTGCCCTGAGGTGTTAATGGATCCTACAGTTGCGTTTTAAACCCCTTTGTATCTGCAATTCGCTTTTTCCTTCTGGATGTTTTGTTTACGCACCAGTTTACCCTCCGCAGGTCAGCAGGTGTTTCTCTGCATTTAAGGCGTCGGTGCTGCCATCTGATCTGCGCTGCATAATTCATGACAACAAGTCTATGGTGTGTTTTCTCTTTTGTTTTCAGTTAAGCTGCCAGAAGACAACCGCTAAAGAAAGACATCTGTGTTCCAAAACATCAAACAGGTCCAGTTACGTTCAGCTAGATTCTTATGTTTTGGTTCTTGCCTTGTGAATTTAAAATTGGTTGCGATTTTGGTTAATTTTCCAGATTAAAATGAGAGTGTTTTACTCACCGGGAGTCAGGTAGGTGCTGTGAACTCTGAGGAAGAGGAGAAGAAGGACTAAATACCTGCAGGACATGGTGATAACAAGTGGAGGACAAAGAGAGGAAGAGTGCTGACTTCAAACTGACTGAAGGATATTTAAAGGGAAGGTGTGAAGAGGAGGGAGGAGATATGAAGATGATAAATGTCTAGACTAATGTTTTGACAGGGTTTGTGGTTCTTGAGTTGCAACAGACTTATTAAACTTTATTTATTTAGAGGAAGGTTTAGGGAGCAGCAACGCCCTGATTCACAGGAAGTCAGCAATTAACCAGAATTCACAGGGATTTAACAAAATGAAGGGGTTTTCCACACGTTACCATGTTAAAACATAATAAATACAAATAATATAACCATTTTATTTACTTCAAACGGTACTATACAACCTTTTTCTAACTGGGTAATAATGTTTAACATCGCCAGCTGATCCCCCTTAAAATTATGGTTCTATACAATTAAAACTGCGACTAATGCCCATTTGAGCGATGGCCCATTCATCTGAACCTTAAAGATTTCCCATTTGTCCAAAAGCCCAACTATTATGTATGACTACTTTAATAAAAAATGTTTAAAAAATTGGCAATATGGCTTAAAAATGCAAGCTGATCCCCCCAAATAAAATGTGTTTTCATACAACTACACTGTGAATACGGCCCGTTTGACCGATGGCCCGTTTGAGCGATGGCCCGTTAATCTGAACCTTAAAGATTTCCATTTTTTTCCAAAGCCCAATGATAATGAATGTTTAGTTTTATAAAAAAATGTTTTAAAATGGGCAATATGGCTTAAAAATGCAAGCTGATCCCCCCCAAAAAATTATGTTTTCATACAACTAAACTGCGAATACGGCCCGTTTGACCGATGGCCCGTTTGACCGATGGCCCATTTGAGTGATGGCCAATTTGAGTGATGGCCCATTTGAGTGATGGTCCATTTGAGTGATGGCCCATTTGAGTGATGGTCCATTTGACCGATGGCCCATTTGAGTGATGGTCCATTTGAGTGATGGCCCATTTGAGTGATGGCCCATTTGAGTGATGGTCCATTTGACCGATGGCCCATTTGAGTGATGGTCCATTTGACCGATGGCCCGTTTGAGCGATGGCCCGTTTGAGCGATGGCCCGTTTGAGCGATGGCCCGTTTGAGCGATGGCCCGTTTGAGCGATGGCCCGTTTGACCGATGGCCCGTTTGAGCGATGGCCCGTTTGAGCGATGGCCCGTTTGAGCGATGGCCCGTTTGAGCGATGGCCCGTTTGACCGATGGCCCGTTTGAGCGATGGCCCGTTTGAGCGATGGCCCGTTTGACCGATGGCCCGTTTGAGCGATGGCCCGTTTGAACCTTAAAGATTTCCCATTTTTTCCAAAAGCCCAAAGTTCAGTTTTATTAAAAATGTTTTTAAATGGGCAGTATTGTTTAAAATTGTAAGCTGATCCCCCCCAAAAAATTATGTTTTCATACAACTAAACTGCGAATTTGACCGATGGCCCTTTGATCTGAACCTTAAAGATTTCCCATTTTTACCAAAAAGCCAATGATTATGTATGATTACCTTAAAATGGGCGACATTGTTTAACATTGTTTTTATACACTAAAACTGCGATAACTGCCCATTTGACCGATGGCCCATTCATCTGAAAGTTTGGTGAAGGGAAGGAGCACTTCTACAGCCTTGTTGGCGAGGTGGGGGAACTCGCTCTCCACAGACAGCCAAACGTGTGCAAGTGACACTTTGGACAGTTTAGACTATTTGGTTTTCAAAATAAAGGGCCATCGGAACACACCGGAAAACGTGTTTTTTTTGTCTCGTATTTTAAACTTAAATAATCGTAAACGTTCTAGAGAAGTCTATATGGAGGGAAATGATTTACTTTGCTTCAAATAGTATATATATGGGACCATAGCAGATCATTAGGTTGCATGCGTTTTGATGTATCTACATGAACATAAATCTGACTGCTATAATATATATAATCACACACACACTCATCAGATAAACCTAGCGTTTCTCTGAGTTCCCTTGACTCCTTTCCTCAACTTTAACTATTACTCTCATTTAATTTAGTGCATTACTTTTGTTTTTATCGCCCATTTATCATTATTACTTTTGTGTGAACGAAAGTGTCTTGGTTTATCTTTGCTTTTCTTTCTTGCTTCAGCTGTCGGGTGGATGCCTTGCTCAAGGACACGTTATGGAAACAGTTACTCATCACAGGTGTGTGTGTGTGTGTGTGAAGGTCCAGTCATTACTGCTGTTACTCAACTGGAACTGGAGATTTCATCACACACACACACACACACACACACACACACACACACACACACACACACACACACACACACACACACACACACACACACACACACACACACACACACACACACACACACACACACACACACACACACACACACACACACACACACACACACACACACACACACAGTTTATATCCATGGTTGCTATGGAAGTGAGTGTCTGCTTACATACACACACCGACTGTACTCAACCGTAACACTTTAATCTGTGTGTGTGTGTGTCCTTGATCCTCTTTCATTATCTTGTCCTACCTAAACAAAAGGTGCTTTGTTTGTCAGGCTCTACGGATGGAAATGAGGCCCTGAGAGGCAGCGAAGAAATGTTATTCTGCAAGTCTGATTATTATTTACCAAAACCTTAATTGTATTTTATTTTCAAAAAATATCTCAGAATTCTGACTTTCTTCGAATTCCCTAAAAATTCACTTTTGTTCAGATTTCAATTTTTTTTCCAGATAATGTTTTGAAAATATGATTAATAACTAAAATAAATGAGATTCATAATTCAAATTCAGTATTTTATTTTGTACAAATGTATAAATATAACACTCTTGCATTTGTGTTAAATTACTTCTTTGGCTCTTGAACTTTAAAGTGCAAAAAGAAAGAAATCAATAAATCAGTTTATCATTCAAATACACTGAAGACTGCGCCGTTAGTAAGGAGTGAAACAAAATATATATATATACTCGCCACGTAAGAAACAGATATTTAAACTGCAATTTTAACAGAGAGCTGTACAGACAGGTATCACAGGGATGATGAAGATGATGAAGATGGAGGTCTAGGTGAACTTCCGGATGAAGCGCAGTTTGAGGTACGCGATGGTCAGGAAGCAGAAGGTCATGACGCCCAGAGCCACGTGGTTCTGCCAGAGACCCCAAGTGGACCAATCAACACCCTGATTGTCCAGAAACTCCTCCCCTGTACACCTGCACACACACACACACACACACACACACACACACACACACACACACACACACACACACACACACACACACACACACACACACACACACACACACACACACACACACACACACACACACACACACACACACACACACACACACACACACACACACACACACACACACACACACACACACACACACACACACACACACACACACACACACACACACACATTGGAATATACTCTAACCAATCACATCATGTTGCTACTTAAAAGAGTATGTAGTGTCTCTACTGGGACATGTCTCCATGCTTTAATGTTCAAAAAGCTCTTCATTGTTCTCATACTGCCTGTGCTGCAGCACCTCTTTTCACCCTCTGTCTGAAACCTTAGCCTATCACGTACAATGTGTTGGAGCGCGCTAGTGTTACATAGTGATGTCACTATTTTAGCCTTTGCAGACCATTTACATGCACAGAAAAAGGGAAAACCCCAGAAAGCAGAATTGGGCCTCTTGAAATACACATTTTTACTCACGTGAGCCCCGGGATGTTTGTTGTGTTGATGCTGCCGCAGAACTTCAGACCCGTGAACTCGTTAATCTGCAGAGCCTGAAGAGACACGGAGATACAACATATTATACACAGAAGAGACACTTTAATCTATCACTAAACAACATCAGGCTTTTATCTAACTTTCATCTGTTCAATACCACGCTGAGGGAGGAGTATTATTTCAAGCAATGTGTGTGTGTGTGTGTGTGTGTGTGTGTGTGTGTGTGTGTGTGTGTGTGTGTGTGTGTGTGTGTGTGTGTGTGTGTGTGTGTGTGTGTGTGTGTGTGTGTGTGTGTGTGTGTGTGTCTGGCCTAGCATTACTATACTTGTGGGGACCTAAATCTGTTTACACAGTCACGTGTGGGGACTCACCTCCCTTATGGGGACAAAATGAAGGTCCCCATAAGGGGAATCATTCATTTTAGGGTGAAGACTTGGTTAGGGTTAGGCATGTGTTGGTTATGGTTAAGGTTAGGATAAGTCTCCAGGAAATGCATGTAAGTCAATGTAATGTCCCCTGAAGTGATGTATACATGGTGTGTGTGTGTGTGTGTGTGTGTGTGTGTGTGTGTGTGTGTGTGTGTGTGTGTGTGTGCTCACAGCGAGGCCGTATCGTGGGATGCTTAAGTATTTGAGCCAGGCGAGCCAGCTGGCGATGGAGGGGAGATTGACGAGAAGACCGGCGAAGATCTGAGGAGAGAAACATTACACAGGTGAGAAAATAGAACTGTGTGTGTGTGTGTGTGTGTGTGTGTGTGTGTGTGTGTGTGTGTGTGTGTGTGTGTGTGTGTGTGTGTGTGTGTGTGTGTGTGTGTGTGTGTGTGTGTGTGTGTGTGTGTGTTACCATCATGAACACGCAGGCGATGGTCATGAAGATGTTGGCGATGGCGACCACCGTCTGGTCGGCGGAGATAGCGAGCGCCATGGCGGTGGCTGTGTAGGCCACCATGGTGACGGAGAACATGAAGGTGAAGAACGCTGCCGCCGTGGGCTTCAGACCTGAGAGGGAGAGGAGATACAATAATGTTAATAAAATAACAAAGAAATTCAAAGACAATGTTCAATATGTCTACAAACAAATTAGATAAAGGTGCTAACAGGACGAAGCACTAAAAAGGATATTAGGGTGGGAAGAAGGGCAGTTGCAGTTTAAATTTAAATGAATTGTTGTTATTATTATTTTTAATTATGGAATAATTTACTGAAATACATTTTTTTATCAACCCACTTTTAATAATGATTTTAAATATTATTATTTCTTCTTTTATTATTATTTTTTAAATTTATTTTATTTTAATTTGTAAATAAAAATTCATATGAAAATAAAATAAGATTAATTATTTGTATTATTTTTTTGACGTATCGATTAAGTGTCAGGCCTATAAAACATACAAAAGAGTCCAAATTTCAATAGAGTGGCGAAGTCCCTCCCCTTCCGGTGGACCTCCATGGGACCTTATTTCGGAAAAGTTATGCATTGAAGTCAATGGAGAGAGAAAGATTATCTTTCGATCCCGTTTGAATTGTGCCACGAATTACACATATGATGTTTGTCAATTTAAAAGATAATTTTGCAAGTCAAAAAAAAAAAAAATGTGTGGTAAAACTGTGAAGTAACACATTTGTTTGTGTGAAACGCTCAATGAACTACATCTCTGGTCAACCACACACGTCACCAAGATGGCCGTCACTACTGTCTTGTCAACAAAACGATTGACTACCCTCACTATCACCACAATGAAACACGTCCTGAAGAATGTCATGCAAAGCTGCCTGCCTGCCTTCCTTTGATTCTCTCTGAACTGCCTGGTCGTTTTAATGTTTAATGTCAACCATTTGTGCAGATAGCATGAAGTAGAGAAGATCGCTACCGTTAGCGTTAGCATTTCTCCCCCGGGCTTAAATGGTGTATTATAGAATGATCACACCGGTGACAGTACTCTTCAAAGGGTTCACGAAATATGACTACTACTCTTACTGTTTAACATTTTGGGTTACTTAATGTTACTTCATGTTACTTCATGTTAAGGCTAATAAAAATGACAAGGCTGTAATGCTAACTAACGTGCTAGCTACTAGCTAGGTAGCTAACTTGATCAAGCCACTCCTGGTCCTTTCATCAGACGGGAAGCAAAAGAACGAGCAAGACCCATTGCTGGTATAATAACAACCTGGTACTAAGCACACAGGCATCTTGTTAAAGTTATCTTATCTTAGCCAGCGCCATATAGATAGATTATATCTATATTGCGCTGATCTTAGGTATCTGAATGGTGGAGCTAAACAATTGTGACATCACTTACTCGACTCTGGGATTTGTAGTCTTTCTAGTTGCGTATTTTTCATAGTCTTATATTTCAACAGTTTTACAACAAACTGTGACTTTTTTGACATGGAAATTATTTTTTAAGATTGACAAACATCATATGTGTAATTCATGGCACAATTCAAACGGGATCGAAAGATACGTTTTCTCTCTCCATTGACTTCAATGCATAATTTTTCCGAAATAAGGTCCCATTACCCGGAAGTAGGTGGGAGGGACTTCGCCACTCTATAGACAATTTTGAAAAAATGTATTTACCTTTCGGGACCTTAGGAAGGCATTTTCATTTATCTAAATACATTTTCTGTCCACCCCACTTTTATAAATTATTTTAAATATTATTATTTATTCTTCAACTAATATTTTTGGGATTATTTAATTAAAACATTTTTTTAAATATACACATTGTAAATAAAAATTCATAAGAAAATTAAATGATTTAGGTTATTTTTGGGATGTCTATAAAACATCCCAAATTAATTTGACATACAATTCAAAAAGTAATGTACCTTTCGGGACCTTGAGAAGGCGTTTTGCCATAAATCATGACATTAAAAACACAAAAATTAAAATAGTTAATGATTAGTTTGGGTATATTTAACGCTGAGTGTGTGTTGGACGCACCGATCATGAAGTAGGAGACGCAGCTGAACACGATGGCAGGGATCGTCCTCAGAGCGATGATGTCCGACAGCATCTTACACAGGAAGTACACCGACACACGGTAATACCCGCTGATGTACTCGTGACTGAGGAGGAAAACACACACAGAGGGTTATTAACAGGAACATTTAAAGTGGACCTATCATGCTATATTTGAATAATATAGTGTAGGACCATACCTATATAAGGCATATTTATACTTTTTTTTTTTTAAATACCAAACAGATCATGCATTTTAGCCATGCCTCATTTTGCTCAATTTGACATTTTTTAGCTCTGTTTGTGTAAGGGCAGATAAGGGCAGAACAGCACCATCTACTGGCCTGGCATATGTACTACAGCGTCTCCAGCGCTTTCGAACGGCAATGGCCGTGGCTGTCTCCTCCTGATTGGTGGAGTTGGCCCAATAGCCGTAGCGCCACCGTCCTGACGTCAGGACAGTGTTCAAATCTGGATCAGTTTTTATCAGATCCGTTGCAGCCCCTTTTTTAGAGATTTGGGTATGGAGGAAAATAGAGAGGGTTGTGTTTTCTGACACTTGGTGAGTTCCCTGGAACACCGGGGACACATATTCATGTATACAAGATGTACAAAAGTGCATTTTGCATGATAGGTCCCCTTTAAAGGTAGGGTAGGTAAGTTTGAGAAACCAGCTCGAGATCGCTAGAATTTGAAAATACACAGCCGGAAGAAATCTGCCACTTCCTTACAGAGCCCCTCCTCCAACACACACGAACGCGCACATGACCAATGAGGGCACGAGATAAGTCTGTGCACAGATGGAAGGCTGACAGGCAGGTAGGCCATCCAGTTATTTTAGCCGGGCCGGCTCAGATGATTGGTCGTGCTTTTTACAGTACTACGGCTTCCACAGATGACATTTTTTAATGGATTTTTTGTCAAAGCACTTCAGATATTCATTGCTGTCGGGATGTTAAGAGCATTCCATGGAATATAACAACAAGTGTATCTGAAATAAATTACATACCCCACCTTTAAGTACATTTTTCTGGTATCAGTACTTTACTCCACTACTTATTTTTCTGATGACTTTTTACATGTTGAACTCAAATACCTGTACTTTCTACTTCTTACATGTTGAACCCAAATACCTGTACTTTCTACTTCTTACATGTTGAACCCAAATACCTGTACTTTCTACTTCTTACATGTTGAACTCAAATACCTGTACTTTCTACTTCTTACATGTTGAACTCAAATACCTGTACTTTCTACTTCTTACATTTTGAACACAAATACCTGTACTTTCTACTTCTTACATCTTGAACACAAATACCTGTACTTTCTACTTCTTACATTTTGAACACAAATACCTGTACTTTCTACTTCTTACATGTTGAACACAAATACCTGTACTTTCTACTTCTTACATTTTGAACTCAAATACCTGTACTTTCTACTTCTCTCATTTTCCAAACAGGCTGGTTCCTTTAGTTTGAATGTGTGTTTGGTGGCGTGATCATTATTATTTAGAGTCATTGCGTGCCTATTGATTTGAACACGATCCGTGTATCCATCATTTCCTGGTCTTCTCTAAAGAAGAGGGACCAATGAAAACGTTGTCATGTTGCCGTTGTTCAGCATGGAAACATTCATTAGCTAACAATGACATTATTGTTCTATTAATATAAAGGGAGCTCAGGTACTCTTTAAAACAGCTGCTAGTTATGGGTACTTTTTACTGAAGTACATTTCAAAGCCCTCTTTGCTTTGACTTGAGTAAAGAAGTTTAGTCAGTACTTCTACTTTTACCAGAGTATTTTTAAACACGAGTATGTGTACTTCTACTTGAGTAAAGGATGTGTGTACTTCTACTTGAGTAAAGGATGTGTTTAGACTCACATGAAGAGCTTCCTCTCGGCGATGAAGAGCTCTGCAGACGACAGCGAGCTGAAACACTGATTTATTGTCACGAAGAAGAGGGCGCCCATCCTGAAACACAACATATATTTACTGTAATCCAGCACGTTATACCTGTATTATTTACTAATATAAACACAGTATAGCTACCTGTTCTGAAGTCCACTCGCATCGTTCTTCACTCCAAAGAAAATGAATCCGACGATCAGAGCGAGGAACAGAGTGACTGCTATCTGAGGAGCAAAACAGAGAGATAATGGATCAATTCATAGATAAATAATTTATATAAATAATAAATCAATTAATCCTGTAGTTAAAGCTCTGATAAAAGCCAGGCTTCTTTAAAAAAAGAAAAACATTGTTTTATGCATTATTTACATTTTTCTATTCACTTTTATCATCATTTATTTTGCCATTATTACTGTTTTTATTGTTTTTAAATCGAGTTGATTACATTTTAATGATTGTTATTGTCTTTGGTGGAATTGTAAAGGCAGTGAAACTCAGAAAAAGTGGTGAAAAATATTTAAAAAGTAGCATTTTAAACTAAAAATATGCAGTGTGTATCTGAGGCTGCAGTTCCTCTAGCGGCCACCAGGTGCTGCTCAAACCACACGTTTGGCCGTAATGAGACCGTTTAAGAAGATAAGATAAGAAGTACTTTATTGATCGATGCAGCAGCGTAAAAACAAATATATATATGGATTATATTTTATTTATATTTTAAATCTATATATATTTGTTACCTGAGCGAAGGAGGTCTGCGGGTTCAGCAGGAGGTTCTGGAAGGTTCTCTTTAGAACCCATCTGAACTGAGTGAAGAAACCGGTCTTATAGGTGATGGTTCTGGAGCGAGAGGAAGAGGAGGAGGAGGAAGACTTCTTACCCTCCGTTATCCTCTCTAAAGGGAGAGGGGGAGGTCAGTGTTAATGTGTGTGTGTGTGTGTGTGTGTGTGTGTGTGTGTGTGTGTGTGTGTGTGTGTGTGTGTGTACCCAGCTCTGCTCTGGTCTCTCTGTATTGACTGCACTTCCTGTATTCCTGCACCAGTTTATCTTCAATCCCCTGCATCGACGAGGACGACACGTCAGAGTCTGGAGGAAACAAGAAATAATCACAACATGGAAATACAACAAAAGTGTATTTATATTTCCACACACACACACACACACACACCGACAAACACACACTGACTGACTGACTGACACACACCAACTGACCGACACACACACACATTAAAATTATGTTATCTTTCACTGGACATTTTACTTAAACTTATTATGTTTGTATACATATTACACACACACACACACACACACACACACACACACACACACACACACACACACACACACACACACACACACACACACACACACACACACACACACACACACACACACACACACACACACACACACACACACACACACACACACACACACACACACACACACACACACACACACACACACACACACACACACACACACACACACACACACACACACACACACACCTTCTTTGCTGTTCAGGGCCAGAGCCGCTGCGCTGGAGTCTCCGTTGATGATGTCCAGGAAGAAGTCAGCCGGGTTGTTGTGGGGCTCACAGGTGTACCCTGGGAAATGAAGTTCCAAACACAATCACATGTAGTTCACTTCCTCTCTTTCATGTTTTGGGTTACTTTGGATTTATTTGAACATGCCTACCGATTTCAGAGAAGTAGTCCAGAGCGGTCTGAGCCGAGCCGTGGTACACCTTTGGAGAGGAACGAGTTCATGTGAGTTTATGTGTTCATTCATTTATTTCACAGAAAATGAAATTGAAATTGTGAATTAATTGAGAAAAAGTGAAGCAAGGAGGTAGAGCATGACCTAAATAAAGCATATATACCTGTTTCCCGTGCACCAGCAGCGTGAGGCTGTCGAACAGACGGTAGATTGAGTATCTGGGCTGGTGGATGGAGAGGATGATGGTGCGCCCGCTGTTAGCCATCCTGCAGAAACAAGAGCAGAAGAAAGGTTCCTACCTGGTCACAGACACAGTACCATGCTGTATGAAAGCCTTTACGGGAAACGGGGGTAAATTCCAGGAGAAGTGAATCTGAGATGAAAGTCACCGTTTTTACATTTGTTACTTGGAAAAGTTGTGTGTTTTTACTCCAAATTACCAGCATAATTGCTGTGTGTGTGTGTGTGTGTGTGTGTGTGTGTGTGTGTGTGTGTACCTCTTCAGCAGCAGCAGTACAGAGTTAGCGGTGCTAGCATCCAGCCCTGTAGTGGGTTCGTCCAGGAAGAGGACGGGGGGGTCGATGATCAGCTCCATGCCGATGTTCGTCCTCTTCCTCTCTCCCCCCGAAATACCCCTGATCAGCTGAGTGCCCACCTACACACACACACACACACACACACACACACACACACACACACACACACACACACACACACACACACACACACACACACACACACACACACACACACACACACACACACACACACACACACACACACACACACACACACACACACACACACACACACACACACACACACACACACACACACACACACACACACACATTTTAATCCCAGACAATAATAATCAGAATAATACAAATATTTTGGGGGATTTTATCATATATTATTTCTCTCAATTTATTTTGCTTTTTAGTGATCAAATCTGTTGTTCCTGTTATTTTACCTTTCTTCATTCATTTTTTCGGCTGTTATTTTATGTATTTGTATTCTCATCATTCTGTCTCTCTTCCTCTTCCTCCTCTTCCTCCTCCACCCCCCCTCCTCACCCTGGAGTCGGCCACCCGTCCGAGCCCCAGCTCCTGGATCAGTTTCTCCACTTTCTGGTCCTTCTCCTCCTGAGAGACGGAGGCCGGCAGCCGGAGCGCCGCCGAGAAGGTGAAGTTCTCTCTGACGGTGAGAGTGCCCATCACCACGTCGTCCTGAAGAAACATGGAGCAGAACGTGAAGAAGAAACATGGAGCAGAACGTGAAGAAGAAACATGGAGCAGAACGTGAAGAAGAAACATGGAGAAGAACGTGAAGAAGAAACTTGGAGCAGAACGTGAAGAAGAAACATGGAGAAGAACGTGAAGAAGAAACATGGAGAAGAACGTGAAGAAGAAACATGGAGAAGAACGTGAAGAAGAAACATGGAGAAGAACGTGAAGAAGAAACATGGAGCAGAACGTAAAGAACGTGGAGAAGAAACATGGAGCAGAATGTGAAGAAGAAACATGGAGAAGAACGTGAAGAACATGAAGAAAAAACATGGAGCAGAACGTGAAGAAGAAACATGGAGCAGAACGTGAAGAAGAAACATGGAGAAGAACGTGAAGAACATGAAGAAAAAACATGGAGCAGAACGTGAAGAAGAAACATGGAGCAGAACGTGAAGAAGAAACATGGAGCAGAACGTGAAGAACATGAAGAAGAAACATGGAGAAGAACGTGAAGAAGAAACATGGAGCAGAACGTGAAGAACATGAAGAAGAAACATGGAGAATGATCAGAACCAGAACTAAAACAAACCCCGCTGTTAAAGAGCAACTTGCAGAGAGGAGAGGAGAGGAGAGGAGATGAGAGGAGTGGAGAGGAGAGGAGTGGAGAGGAGAGGAGATGAGAGGAGTGGAGAGGAGAGGAGAGGAGTGGAGAAGGAGAGAGGAGAGGAGAGGAGAGGAGAAGTGGAGAGGAGAGGAGGAGAGGAGAAGAGGAGAGGGGAGAGGAGAAGTGGAGAGGAGAAGTGGAGAGGAGAGGAGGAGTGGAGAGGAGAGGAGGAGAGGAGCGGAGAGGGGAGGAGAGGAGAGGAGATGAGAGGGTAGGGACAGTGATGTATTGATAGAGTGGAGAGGAGAGGAGAGGAGGAGGAGAGGAGTGGAGAGGAGAGGAGAGGAGAGAGAGAAGGAGAGGAGTGGAGAGGAGAGGAGAGGAGAGAGGAGAGGAGTGGAGAGGAGAGGAGAGGAGAGGAGAGGAGAGGAGAGGAGAAGTGGAGAGGAGAGGAGAGGAGAGGAGAGGAGTGGAGAGGAGAAGTGGAGAGGAGAAGTGGAGAGGAGAGGAGAGGAGAGGAGTGGAGTGGAGAGGAGAGGAGAGAGGAGAGGAGTGGAGAGGAGTGGAGAGGAGAGGAGTGGAGAGGAGAGGAGTGGAGTGGAGAGGAGAGGAGTGGATAGAGGATGAGGAGAGGAGAGGAGAGGAGAGGAGAGGAGAGGAGAGGAGAGGAGAGGAGGGGAGAGGAGGGGAGAGGAGAGGAGGGGAGAGGAGAGGAGAGGAGAGGATTGACGGAGAGGAGTGAGGAGAGTGGAGAGGGGGAGAGGGGAGAGGAGGAGGAGAGGAGAGGAGAGGAGAGGAGAGGCGGGAGGAGGAGAGGAGAAGTGGAGAGGAGAAGTGGAGAGGAGAGGAGAAGTGGAGAGGAGAGGAGAGGAGGGGAGGAGGAGAGGAGAGGAGAGGAGTGGAGAGGAGAGGAGAGGAGAGGAGAGGAGTGGAGAGGAGAGGAGAGGAGGAGGAGGGGAGAGGAGAGGAGAGGAGAGGAGTGGGAGAGGAGAGGAGAGGAGAGGATGGGAGAGGAGAGAGAGGAGAGAGAGGAGTGGAGAGGAGAGGAGAGGAGAGGAGTGGAGAGGAGAGGAGAGGAGAGGAGAGGAGAGGAGAGGAGAGGAGAGGAGTGGAGAGGAGAGGAGAGGAGAGGAGGGGAGAGGAGAGGAGAGGAGAGGAGAGGAGAGGAGAGGAGAGGGAGAGGAGAGGGAGAGGAGAGGAGAGGAGAGGAGAGGACGAGGAGAGGAGAGGAGAGGAGAGGAGAGGAGAGGAGAGGAGAGGAGAGGAGAGGAGAGGAGAGGAGAGGAGAGGAGAGGAGAGGAGTGGAGAGGAGTGGAGAGGAGAGGAGAGGAGAGGAGTGGAGAGGAGAGGAGAGGAGAGGAGAGGAGAGTGGAGAGGAGAGGAGAGGAGAGGAGGGAGAGGAGAGGAGAGGAGAGGAGAGGAGAGGAGAGGAGAGGAGAGGAGAGGAGAGGAGTGGAGAGGAGAGGAGAGGAGAGGAGAGGAGAGGAGAGGAGAGGAGAGGAGAGGATGCTGAGGGGAAAGTGCACATCAGTAATTAATTTCATTGAAATTACACAGTCACAATTACACGGACACAGTTCTTGAGACATTTCACCATAAATCCCACTGTCATGGTGGCGCGAGAGGGAAAGTCAGATTATCATTAATGTCACTAAGGTTCATTCTCTGGAAACCATGAATGTTTGTCGATGCCTGATTGGCTCCTGCAGTTCTACTTCCTGTCGTCTTCCTCTCACCTGCACCACGTATCCCGACAGACACTTGAAGTTTGGAGGCTGGTGAGCTCCGTCGATCAGAACTTCTCCGGAGAGCCCGGCCGGGTCCTTCCTCGCCGCCAACACGTCCAGAAACCTGATGTAGGGAGATTCAAGTTTAGAGCGCTGATTGTACACATATTAACACTTTTTATTTGTTTAACAAACAGTACTTCTTGTATTTTGGATGAATTTCTTTTTAATGTTTGGGATATTTTTCACATATTTTCTGCTTATTTTTTAAATATGTTTTACTCATAGTTTTTGGTTATATTGGTTATATACTTTATTCATATTTTACTCATATTTTTTGGGATATTTTAGTCATAATGTCTATATTTTTTAACACATTTCAAATTTTCACTTATACATGGTTTCAAATATTTTAATAATAATTTTACTTTTCACATTATTTTCATAATTTCTGATATTTTTGGCAATTATTTTAAGACATTTTCTGGATAATTCTTCTCATATTTTAGTTATATGAATAATTTCTTGCAGTAATTATTCATTAATTTGAATAATAAAACTAACTTCCCTACCATGTAAAGGAACACTTTATCCTTTAGTTAATCACCAGCTGCAGATGCATGCTTTCCACTGGATGAAAACGACAGTATTTCGCTCTGAGATGTCGGGTTGTCGAAGTATAAATTAGCATATTAAGTCAATATTACATTTTAGTTCAGACTCACGATGATTTCCCACTTCCTGTTGCTCCCATGATGGCGTTCAGTCCCGGCTTCATGAGGCCACTGAGGGAGAAAATAATAACAACAGTTTAGAAATGTGAGAAAAGTTCATATAATTGGAAACACACACTAAACCAGTGGTTCTCAAACTTTTTCTGTCAGGCCCCCCCCCCCAACACAAATAGTCACGTAATGGGCCAAGTTAACATTTATTTTTTATCATAACATAAATGCGCACCCCCCACTTTGAGAAACACTGCACTAAACTAAACACCGTACGGAACTGAGCTGGTACCATGCTAACAGTTCCCCTTTGTTTCCAGTCTTTGTGCTAAGCTAAGCTAACGGTCTGCTCTCATATTGCTGACTCATCTCTCGTCTAAAGTCATGTTTTGTTTAACATGACGCGGCAGTTTCACTTCTGTGTTTCTCAGCGGTGAACTTTGTGATTACAGATATGAAATCAAGAACATTTGAGGAACTGAAAAAAAATTTGTTCAGGTTTTTGTGGAAATGTTTGAATCATCTTTTGGAGTTTTTCGCTGACTCAGGATGAAGACTTAGTAAATCAGCAACCCATAACATGACTCAGCAGTTTTGATGATGGTTCTCTCTTCCTTTTTTATTCCCAGCAAACTGAATTGATGTTTTGTTTTCATTGAAACTGTTTGCATTTTTCTTTTAGCACGTTTACATTTTTCAAGACCTCTGTGTTTTTTACCCTTAAGTCCTCGCCTTAAACACTTTTTACTTAACTAAGGGAACCTTCCAAGGACTATTTATTTACTAATTTATAGAGATTTTACAGCCGTTTGTTGACTTGTACTCTGTCTCCTGTTAATGGCCTATAAATGGTCAAATGTTGGTGGAAATTGCCCAAAAATGAAGTCAGGATGCCAAAGAAAAGATGACAGAAACAACTTTGTTAAGAACAACAAACATATCTAAAAGAATGGGTTTTACAAAATGAGGCAGAGAGCATCAAATCGGACCGAAAAAGCATTACAAAATACTGAAAAAATGCCAAAGGTTGCGTAAAGATAGTTAAAACAAGCAGGACATAAGGCTATAAGTCCATAGGAGAAAAGGAGGGATGTTTTTTTTTCATCAAAACTCAAAAGTAATTGTGTTTTATGCAGAATAATAAAAGACGGTACATTTCATTTTACGGCTCTGAATTTCTATAAAAACCCTCTGAACCTTCAGCTTTAGTCAATGATTACACACTGCACAATAAAACAGCAAATACCACCCTCTGTACACCACACGCACACACGCACGCACGCACACACACACGCACGCACGCACGCACGCACGCACACACACACACACGCACGCACGCACGCACGCACACACACACACACACACACACTGCACTTTGATCATGTTCATAACACACCATTATGAAAGGTTTCATAACAGATCATAACCACAGGGAGCGTTTGAAGTCAGGTGTTTGTGTTGCAGCCAATAAAAATATAAATATGTTTTGACCTCTCTGTGAGCTCGGAAGAATGCAAATATGCTTTCCAGCTCTTATATTTAGTCAGGGTTGGTTACACATAGAAACACTACAGCGTAATGGGGCAAAACATATTTATCTAAAGGATCGAACAAAGCAACGCTGTAGTTATGCTCAACAACTGGAGGTCGATCTGAGAGCAACGACCTCCATCAAGGCCGTCTCCATGCTTTAAAACGTGTGTTGAATGTGTTGTGTAATCCATTGGTACATTTACTCAAGTACTGTACCTGGACCATTCTGCACAATGACTACTTTTACTTTTGGTAAGTAACATTTTGAAAGCAGGACTTTTACTGTAACAGAGTATTCCTTTTACTCAAGTACAAGATCTGAGTACTTCTACTTTTAAGTACAAGATCGAAAACGCCATTAATTCAGCAAGTATTTAGTCTTATACAATCAAATGTTGTCCTGATGAAGGCACTACATAAAAAGTAAGAGTATCACTAAAGATATTTCAATTCACACTGAGGGGAAAGTGAAAATATGTGATTCATTTCATTGAAATCGGAAACAGTTCTTGAGACATTTCACCATAAATCCCATTGGTCAATCTCATGGTGGCGCTAGAGGGAAAGTCAGATTATCATTAATGTCACTAGGGTTCATCCTGTGGGAACCATGAATGTTTGTACCAAATGTTACGCCAATCCAATCAAATTTCGTGCAAATCCATCAAGTAGTACATTTTACAGACAAAAACTTGTGGCACTAGAGGAAAAGTCTAAGAACAACCAACAGCGTAATAAATTGATAGGGTGCGTCCTCTGGGAGCCATGAATGTTTGTACCACATTTTACGCCAATCAATGCCGTGAATATGGAGATTTTCGACAGGATAAGTCAAACTTTTGACTTGTTTTTGGAGGAAAATTGGTAGGATGTATGCTCTGAGCAACGAGACATAAAGTGCCAATTGTCATGTAAATCCATCGAGTAATCGTTAAGACGTTTCCCTAAAACTGGAAACCATAAGTTGGCACTAGAGGAAATGTCAGAGAAACCCCAAAGTCTCTGCGGTCTGTCCTCTGGGAACCATGAATGTTTCTGCCAGATTTCATGATTATGTCCTGAATAATTGTCGAGATATTTCAGTCCAGAGTTGGACCAAACATCAGGTTTCCTAGAATTCACCGTGCGGTCCTGATTGAAAGCATCCTGCCGCTCAGCTGTTTGTTGCTTTAAGCTGAGACTCATTGTTTTATAACAAGCTTCTGGCGGTGTGTGTTTGTCACAGGGGAAAGGTTAGTTTCTGCACAAAGAAAACTTCCTTCCTTTGCCTCCAAATGTGTGTTTGTTTGATTGGGTGGGCTTTGATCGGGTCACGTAGAAAACTCCAGGTGTCCTCTGTCGGTACGTAGACAAAAAAACAATCACTGTAGCCTCAAGATTACTGAGTTCAAACTTTAAAGGTCCAGAGGGATGGAAAACAATGGATTTAGAGGAAGGGGTTACTTAAAATGTGATGATATTTTTGAGAGAAAATGTTGTTTAGGATGGTTCAGACTTTTAGGAAAATTACAGGAAGTTCTAGGTTCTAATCAGACCTGAAAAAAGTAAAAATGCATCAGAAAAAAGATCTGCGTCAGCTCATGGAAAGTGTAGGAGACCAAATGTTTAAATCACATTTGGTCTGAAAACTTTAGAGAAAAGTTAATTGGACAAAACCCTTAAAACTTTAGACACTTCTTTAATAATTCCCAAGAAGACGAGCTGATAAACCAATCAAATTCCAGTATTAGGGGACGTAGGTATGTCGTATGATTGTAAAATTAACCAAACCAATGTATATAAAGTTAAAAAAAAATCGACCAACCAGAATAGCCAGAAAAAGCCATTACAGTCTACGAGCTTTTCACCAAAAAAAAAGGAATATTAGTTATAAGACATATTATAATTATCTCTATTAACGTATTGTTCCGTTAGCAACCGAGCTAACTAGCTTCCTTAATGTCTGGAAACACCAAAAAGTAGCACTGGAAAAATTCATCCCAACGTTTTTGCTATATAATAAGTCGAAAAAGTCAAGAATGTTTATAACCCTTTGATGACAATAAAGAGACATTTGCTTCTCTTATAGCCTGTTGTTGTGTTACTGCTTTCAACACCTCAAATCTGCAGAAAAGACAGATGGATGAACGTCTGTATCTCCAGAGCGACTGAGTGGATTTCTACCATTTAAACTGCATTTAAAACATGACATTACTTGTTTACATTTGTTACGGCCCGTCCACAGAGCAGCGTTAAAAAATCTTGGAACGCTTCTGCCCATTCACTTTGAATGGGGTGACGTCACTTTCCCTCACTTTTCGCCGAACTGCATTGTGGGAAGCAGAGCGGAGATTTTCAGGATTTTCAGGATTCAAAGTTGAGCAATGTTCAACTTTTGAAGCTGAGGTGGAAGCGTCAGCCAATCAAATCCTGTGTATGCAAATCTGACAGTTCAAGCGCTAGCCAATCAAACGGCGTGTATGCTGGGAGAGACATACCGCAGGTCATTTCCTCATATTCCAAAACATGGAGGAGAAATTAGCGGTAGGGAATCACCCGGTGCTTTATGACCAGTCCCTATTTACCTACCGGGATACAAACCGGAGGAGCCAGGCATGGAGGGAGGTGGCAGAGACAGTGGTAGGTTTTCGCCTGTTTGGGGAGTTTATATCCAGTTTACTTCGGGCTTTTTTGCTTTGTATGTCGGGGGCGGGAGATTCATGTGATTGGTTGTTGGTCGCGTTGCTTGCAAAAAATCCCCAAGCTTCAGATACGCCCACCTCCAAGATTTTTTTAACGCTGCTGTGTGGACGGGCCGTTACTGCCTTGACCGTATTGTTCTTGTATTTGTATGGTAATGTTGTATTGTTGTACTGTTCGATGTATCATAGGTCCAATATAAGTTACTTTATATATTATATATTAAAAGTTTTAGCTTGTATTGTCAAAATTATACTGTCTGTTATGTGTAATTGCACATTCGGGAATGCTTGGAATTTCGCTGTAGTGGCAATAAAGGAATCTAATCTAATTACATTCCCATTTTTTAAGCTGTATTTTACTCACTTTAAGTCGATGAGGATTTCTTTGATCGTCCCTTTCTTCCGACACAGGCAGTTTCCTCCGATGGTCACTTTGTAGTCGATGTTGTGGAAGCTAACGGTGGCGCCGCGCCGCTGCTGGCCCAAACCTGCAGGCTGAAAAACACATATTATAAACCCAAACATGTTATAATATATGAGTAGAGTATCAATGAAGGAAGGGTACCTGGTGTTTGGAGGCTCCATTGGTCCCCATGTCTATCGCCACCCGGCCCTCAGACATCTTCTACCTCTTCCTGCTGAAACACTGAGGATAGATTATAGTGTTGTTAACGCTTATACAGGAAACTGACCCGTTTTCAACATAGGTTCCACTTTTCTATGGTTTCAAAGGTTTCAATTATCAATTTATTCCCATTTTTCATAATAAATCAAGTTTTAACCTCCAAATAATGAATGAAACATGGATTTCTGTCAATTTTAAGTTTCAAGAACACGTTTTCAAGCAAGTATAAGCCTTTTAAGATCACATTTGGAATATTAAATTAGTACATTATATTAACATAATAATATATTCAAGGTTGTGTCTATTAAAGGTGGGGTAGGTAAGTTTGAGAAACCGGCTCGAGATACACTTTTTGTTATATTCCATGGAAAGCTCTTAACATCCCGATAGCAATGAATATCTGAAGTGCTTTGACAAAAAATCCATAAATAAATATCATCTGTGGAAGCCGTGGTACTGTAAAAAGCACGACCAATCATCTGAGCCGGCCCGGCTAAAATAACTGGATGGCCTACCTGCCTGTCAGCCTTCCATCGGGGCACAAACTTATCTCGTGCCCTCATTGGTCATGTGCGCGTTCGTGTGTGTTGGAGGGGCTCTGTAAGGAAGTGGCAGATTTGTTCCGGCTGTGTATTTTCAAACTCTAGCGCACTCGAGCTGGTTTCTCCAAAATTACCTACCCCACCTTTAATAGTCACTAAATTACATAAAACTGACCCATTTTTAACATAGTTTTGCGTTTTAATATAATATTTTCTATGGTTTCAATGCATGTTATTTATATATTCCTTTTATAAATGTATATATTTCTCAATGTATTCACATTTTAAAAATAAATCAAGTTTTATCCTTCAAATAATGAGTGTAACATGAATTTATTTTGAGTAAAAAGTGTTACGTTTAGAATTTAAAGCAAATTAAATTAAACAATCACAACAAAAATAATTTTTATTTGTTTTATCTTTTAATATCGCCTTTCTAAAAATAGAAATATTGTAAATAATGGATTTAAACTGGGTTTTTGTGATTTAATGTTAGCAGCTAATGTTAACATGCTGGGCTAACTAGCTCTACAACAGCAATTTAAGAGTTATCTCTGTGTTTAATCAGATTATTGTTAGAAATCCAAAGCCTACAATAATTATATTAAGTTTAGCAGTTACACATTTATTAATCCTACAAATCCACTGTGTGTTAGCTGTTAATATATGCCTTTTATCAGAGTTTAAACTCTTAATGGCTATTTTATACAATTTATGTCAGTCCAATGCCTTTCAGTCAAAGAACCGCTCCCACGTTCCCCATCTTTAGCCGCACGCGGGCTAATCGAACCTCACACACATAACACGTTACATGTCTCTTCACACACACATTAACGTGGTTACACAGAGCATTTAAAGAGGTTTATTTACCTTCTGAGAATGAGTAATCCCAGTGAGACCGGCAGCAGCAGCAGACAGACTGCAGTGTGTGAGGAGTGTGTGAGAGGAGCATAGAGGAGAGGAGTGTGTGTGAGAGCAGTGTGTGTGAGCAGTGTGTGTGAGAGCAGTGTGTGTGAGAGCAGTGTGTGTGAGAGCAGTGTGTGTGAGAGCAGTGTGTGTGAGAGCAGTGTGTGTGGTTCACCCAGTTTTATGACTGAAGGCTAGATAAGAGAAGTAGGCAGGAGTGCAGCTGTCTCTCTCTCTCTCTCTCTCTCTCTCTCTCTCTCTCTCTCACACACACACACACACACACACACACACACACACACACACACACACACACACACACACACACTTCCCCAAAGCTACAAGAAAGGGGGGTTGCATTAGTGTAAGTGCAAGAAGCAGTTCTGCAATCATTCTTGAAGAGGTTATCAGTAAAATGTCATATATAATTGACAATAAAATGTTTACTGTCACTGATATGGTACATCAGTGACGTAATGCTTACAGTGTCTGCTGTTTGTGTTACATCAGAGTGTGAAATAAATACAAGTCCTGCATTTCATATGTACAAATTACCATCAGAATGTACACTGAATACTGTTTACATCTTCAAAATCAGGAGGAGAAAACTTAGATTACAAAACACATTAAAAAATACAAATAATCAAAGGTGGAAGAAGTACTCAGATCTTGTACTTGAGTAAAAGTAGAAGTACTCAGATCTTGTACTTGAGTAAAAGTAGAAGTACTCAGATCTTGTACTTGAGTAAAAGTAGAAGTACTCAGATCTTGTACTTGAGTAAAAGTAGAAGTATTCAGATCTTGTACTTGAGTAAAAGTAGAAGTACTCAGATCTTGTACTTGAGTAAAAGTAGAAGTAGTCAGGTCTTGTACTTGAGTAAAAGTAGAAGTACTCAGATCTTGTACTTGAGTAAAAGTAGAAGTACTCAGATCTTGTACTTGAGTAAAAGTAGAAGTACTCAGATCTTGTACTTGAGTAAAAGTAGAAGTATTCAGATCTTGTACTTGAGTAAAAGTAGAAGTACTCAGATCTTGTACTTGAGTAAAAGTAGAAGTAGTCAGGTCTTGTACTTAGTAAAAGTAGAAGTACTCAGGTCTTGTACTTGAGTAAAAGTAGAAGTACTCAGATCTTGTACTTGAGTAAAAGTAGAAGTACTCAGATCTTGTACTTGAGTAAAAGTAGAAGTACTCAGATCTTGTACTTGAGTAAAAGTAGAAGTACTCAGATCTTGTACTTAGTAAAAGTAGAAGTACTCAGGTCTTGTACTTGAGTAAAAGTAGAAGTACTCAGATCTTGTACTTGAGTAAAAGTAGAAGTACTCAGATCTTGTACTTGAGTAAAAGTAGAAGTACTCAGATCTTGTACTTGAGTAAAAGTAGAAGTAGTCAGGTCTTGTACTTAGTAAAAGTAGAAGTACCAGAGTGTAGGAATACTCTGTTTCAGTAAAAGTCCTGCATTCAAAATGTTCCTCAAGTAAAAGTAGAAAAGTATTATCATCAAAATCTAGTTAAAGTAGCGACAGTAAAAGTAGTCATTGTGCAGATTGGTCCATTTCAGAATAATATATATGATATGTTTTATAATGATTGATCATGAAAGTGTTCTCAAAGCTGGTAAAGGTGCAGCTAGTTTGAATGACTTTGTATACTGCAGGGTAGCTTGTGGATTTACTCCAGGTGGAACTAAAGTCTGATATAACACTTGATTATATTTCACATCATTCAAGGTTCAAGGTTCTTTATTGTCAAACTGACATAGCTCCAGAGTAATTATGTTGTTGAAAATCTTATGTCACAGGCTTCTCCAACAATGCAACATAATAAAAATACAGATAGCAAGAGCAATAAAAAAAAAAAAAGAGTAATAAAATAAAGTGAGCATGTGGAATAGTGCAGTACGAGTCTATATACAAGTTATTGGAATGATATATATTAGATATTAGATACATATTACTGAGTAGCAGATGAAGTTGTTGTTTCAGCAGTTCAATTGTTTAACAGTCTCACTGCCCGCGGGAAGCAACTGTCTCCGAATCTTCTTGTCTTTGCCAGGATGCTGCGGTAACGTCTGCCAGATGGCAACAGAAAGAACAGTTTGTGGCTGGGGTGATGGGGGTCTTTGATAATCCGTAGTGATTTCTTCCTGATTTAATCCAGATCTGCAAAGTAACTAAAGGTATTAAATACATGTAGTGGAGGAAAAGTAACAGATCTGAGTACTTCTACCACCTCTGTATACTGTTAATTCTCAGCACAGTTAATAACAAAAGGTGCATTATTGAACTGTTATTGAAATGTGTTCCTCTTTCTCGCGACATCTTGTGGTGTTGCGTGAGTACTGCAGTTGGGAGATCTGCAGTTCTCGCGAGACTTCAGCAGTCCAACGCTTTTCCCACTCTGTTTTCCTCTCACAACAAACAACGGCTCGAAAATTGGATTTAATCTCATAAATGTTGTAATTCGTACCGGTAAGAAATGTTGATTTAACTCCTTTCATGTAAACATATTATATCTTGTACACTTTGTGTCACATGGAGCCGTTTTACCAAGATAACCGTTGTGTTTTAAAAGTGTACCATCGTGTCAACAAGGTGAGTTCAACGCTTTGATGGCTAATAAATACTTAGTATTTTTTAATTAAGACTAACAAAAGAATGTAATGCTGGCTGTTATAAGGTTTTAAAATGTCGTATTTACCTTGTGTTGCATGTATATTACGTTTACTGTATTTAAGTACAATGTTGTTGTTTTATTCTGAAAAGTACTTTTTGATCTTTGTACTTTTAAGATAAGATAAGATATATTTTATGTGTTGCTTTTTTCGTCACAGCAGCACTTTATTTAAGTAATGTTATGAATGCAGGTATTTTACTTCTATTTCTACACTTTATTAAGACTATTATTTACATTTTATTTTTAAAGGAAAAGGAAAAGGAAACCCCCTAAAAAGCAGAATAGGACCCCTTTAAGTAAAATATGTTATTTTCTAGCTACATATTTTAATTTGCCTACCATCCCAGCTATCACCTGCTTATATTTTGTGAGAGTTATAACCCAATATTCCCACAAATGTGTCACAGAAAATCAAATATTTAGGGTAAAAAAGTAAAGAAATAGCCTTCTATCACTTTCCACATGCTACAAAACTAACATGTTGTACATACAGTATGTTAATATTTTTCTGCGTAGACCTGGATGAAGATGACAGACAGAAGGAACATCCAGAAACTCCCTGAAAGAAAGGGGGCTGCTGATTGGACGACATGAGAAAGGTCAGACAGATTCTACTTTATTTTATTTACACTTCACATTTTGAGTCGGCAGTCACCTTTAAATCAAAACTCCTGAGAATAACAACAGTTAAAAGTACAAATGGAAACCCAAAGGTCTGTCATTTTTATGATTGTTTTTTTTAACTCTATATCCACATCAAAATGAAAACCATGAGTCTAAGACATCAAATAGTAAAATGTTATACTTATACTGGGTTTTTCCTTTTCTCTATATACCTTTCTGCCACTAGGGGGCGCTCAATAACAACAATAACAGTAATCAAAGACACATTGGAAGCAGAGGATCATGGGAGTTGTAGTTTTCTGCTTCTCCCCAAACAAAAGATGAATTTAGCCACAGATGTATTCTCTCGACAAAACCAACAAACCCACTGATTTAAAAAAAATAAAAAAAAGGCAGTTATTCGTTAAAAATCAGTGTTTCTTCTGGTTTAAAACGGACGTCCTGATAGGCTGTGTTCTGGGTTAACGTTAGCTCAGTTTGTTTCTCTTATAACTCAAGATCCAGATATGACTCATCCTCACCTAAACACACAGATACAGTGAGAAGAAACTGTTAAAACACTAAATTCATCCATTTCTGCTTAAAAATCTGTGTTTTTGTAACACTGTTTCTCTGATAACTTCAGCTCTAAGTGTCCCATGACTCAAATCCTTCATTAGGGCAAAATATAGAGTCAAACAGCACCAATATCTAAAAAGTAAATGGCTTAAAACCCGATAAAAAGTAATTTATTTGTCAATTCAAGACACTGGGAACCAGAGGAAACGTTAAAATAC